TCGTCATAGAGTTCTTTAGACATAAGAGACCGCTTCCTATTACAGAATTTTGTTTCTATAAAATTTACATCACGAGATTCTATTTTCTTCATTCTGCCATCATCATGTTCTTGATATAACACATATCCCTTCGAGTGCGTAGAATATCTGGCAAAAATACACTCGACAAACCGCCAATCCAGTTTTCTTGTCAACTGAGAAGGGATGTGAACATGTACAGGTAACCTCCAAAAATATAAATGAGAAAGATCTAACTTTCGACCTATCTATAGCTCATGTTGGGAGTGGATTTTGATGGCACTTTGCTTGACACATACATTTCAGTATGGAGTGCATCTCCCGAAAATGATATTGGAAAGTTGGCGTGAGCTATCATAGACCTCACTATGTCTAACAAAGTATAATTCCTTCTTTCTGCAACACCATTTTGTTCCTAAGTGTAGGACATTGTTTATTGTCTACGGATTCCATTATCTTAAAAAAGCTTCTTAAATTGATCAGATAGCTATTCTCACCTTCCATCAATATGAAAAACATTAATTCTTTTGTCCAACTAATTTTCAACATCTAGCATAAAACAGCTAAAGCAATCTATTGCTTGCGATTATGTGACAATAAGTATACATACTTATAGCGAAATTCGTCATCGATAAATGTGATAAAATAACTAGAATCATCACATGTCATCTCATTAGCCGGACCACAAATGTCGAAATGTATTATATATAGAAGACTAGTTGTTCTCTTTGCTTTAAGAAAGGGTTTTCCAATTGATTTTTCAAGTATACATAGTTCATAGATAGGTAGGTCTATTTTGGATAAATACAACAATTCTTCTTTGGCTAATTGGATCATCTTATCTTTTCATGTATGGGCAAGCCTAGTATGCCACATCATGAAGTTGAGTGTGTTATAAGAGGTGGAAGATATGGGAAACGATGAAGATGTCATGTGAAAAGAAGGAAGTGAAACATTAACATCGTCATTATCCAAAACAAACAAATCATTGATAATCCGATCATAATACTGAAAACCATCATAAAATGTAAATATAGCATAATTAAATATAAACCTTATAAAGCAACTGTCTCTAACTAGACATAAAACTAAAACCATAATAATTAGTGAAGTAAAGCGAGTGTTACAATCAGCATTATCCCATGCCTCATATTCGCGGAGGAGTTCCTCTAGTGTACCTTGTTTATAGTAGTTAAGTGCTCAAGAGTACCTTGTTCATTTAGGAGGTATTGTATTTTTCTATGCCATATAGGAAAATTACTTCTACTCAACTTTTCACCTTTAGTGAGATCTGTGATTACGATTTTAGAAGTCATTCTAAGGTCAAAACAAAAAAATTGCACCTATTAATATGGATGTATGATAGTTCGTGTGATCGATGATTGCACATAGATTATCATTTTTACACTTGTTAATTATCTAGTTACTTAAAAAAACTTGACCCTAAAAAGCCTTGATATTAAATTTTTAAGTGTCATATTTAGCTCTTGCTTGTAATCAGTACCTAGTTTCTTTTTTAGATATAGCATATCAAATACCTCACAATTAGCAAGCGGTGCACCTTCCTAGATACACACCCATTAAAAAAATCCTTATATGCAGACTTAAAACACTAAAAAAAATGAGTTTGGCCTATCATGCATGGCTTACCAAGTGACGCAAATAAATATTATCGCTCATGACCTAAGTAAGAGGCACCAACTTGCATAGCCCATACATAAGGTTGGCAACTCCTCAATGTGTAAGGCCTGCATGACTATATAGTCGATACATAATGATATATAGTGCACCTGCCCATAGTCTTAATATAACCATCATGTACACTTTGCAACATCATAGGCTAACCATAGCCAAGTATTCAAAAGTATAGCGAGAACGATAATGCGCCCATAATCAGGAACCCGGTTCCACGATTGCTCCGATACCAATGTTGAAAAAAACGGTCCAATGGCTCAAGCGGAAGCAAAATAATCAAGGGAAACTGAGTATAATACCTAAGTTCTCGCTAGAGAGTTTCAATGAACAAATTTGGAGAGGGATGATCAACTCTTATAGGCAAGTTCGACAACTACTGGAGCTTCCAAAATTGATTCCACACCACAAATCTCGAATGAGATGGAAACTCACGAATACTTTCACAAATGTGATATGAGGAGCAATCTAAGCTCGACTCTCTCACACGCAAGTCTTTCTCTCATAGGGCCGGGTCTCTCCTTAACACTGAAATGGGAAAGTGATTGTACATTCTCTCTCTCAATATGAGCTCTCACACCTTTTCTCATGTGTAGTGCGTAGAGACCTCCACCCTTCCCACTTTTGTAGTGAGAGAAAGTGCCCTCTCATTCATATTGGAGTAACCTCCTCGTGAATAGGTACCATTAGAATGCATGGTGCATGCCATTCATAGGAGGATAACCCCGTCATGAAGAGATGTAACCTCTCCCTACCTCCCTCTCATGAAGTAACATAACTCAAGTAATAAAAAGAGTGTGGTCCACATGGGTGTACGTTCCCACTAAGGATGCACCCTCATGTCTACAGTTCGGCATTCCCAACCCGACCTATTTATCCAAATGAGTGAGTTGCATGCTGCCGGGTCACCTGAAAGGGAGACGACAAATAGAGAGAATGAATGGATAAACCACGGGGAAGAGGGTTAGCAGTGAAGCTCCATCCGCAGAGACTCGACGTAAACATTTGGTCTATCTGCAAGCATTGTTTGCAACTCGAGGACCCACCAATGAAAGGTTTACAGTGGTATTCTTAATAGACACACCTATATAAGTGTGGAAGTGAGTGTGCTTTCTATTGGATGGGACTCGACTCTGAAGCACAACAGTGATAGATGAGGCCCAATTGTGTTGACAACTAAAGACTTCAGAGATGAATATTATTTTTTAGTTACACCACTGGTCTATTGGATAAGAAACATATTCAAAGCTATATGCTACTATAGAACTTCATGGACTTTGTAGTATATATTCTAAGTAAAGGTTTAACTAAAAAAATACCTTCAGGATATGCAAAAAATATACAGTCGCTTATGTTTTTCATATTATTTTGAAATATTGGAAAAAACATTAGTATTTTTATTTGAAATATACTACGTAGTATTTCAAATTATATGATTATTCCTAATGTTTTAATAATTTAATAAATAAAGAAAAAAAGTAGTAGATTTTAATCTCACATTAAAAAATAGAGTCACGCAAGAGTGAATTTTATATGGAAATACTCGTATGCCTATGTTCATGAAACGCAGGAGAGAGTGAAGTGTGCATGTGCAAAGCATGTGACGCATGGCCCAAGTGTGCTTGAGGCACACTTTTTCACGGGTGGGGCTCGTGGCTAAAGGCGATAAACTAGCCGTTGTAATAGCTAGTCATCTGGTGCATTGGTTTTAGCAAATACAATCATTGGATGACAGTTCTAGTGGTTGATGGTCGTCGGATACTGCCTGTTAGGTTCCAACATTCACATGGCTTAGTGAATAGTCATTACTGTTCACATCAAAGGCCACCTCCAAGAGGCATCCTATACTATAAAAAGGGGTTCGAGCTCCCAATTTAAATACACTTAAATTTTTTTTTTTTATAAAAGTATAGATACCTCTTTGAATCAACTTTCTAGGGGTGCCATGATACCACATCACAAACACCAAACTCTTTTCTATTCATCCACCACCTAATTGAAAAAATTATTCTTTTGACAAAAATATTCCTCTTTAAAGCATAATTTTTTCCCCATTGAAGCCTATCTAGTATAGATGTCTGCCAGATCGTCTTCATTATAACTATGAAGCTGATCAAGCACAATGTGTGTCAAATTGACTTCATTATAAAAAATTGAACCCAATCCGACAAATAGTATGCCAGACTAGCTTTAATAGAGCCCAGGAGCCAATCGATCTGGCATAATTAAAGAGAGCTATTTTCATCAAAAAATTAACTTTTTTACTTGAGGGTTTGGATGAAAAAAAAAAAAATTAGAAAGATTATTCCACTTTGAAATTTTAGGAATTACTTAAGAATCACTAAAATGATTATTCTCAAAACAAAAAATTTAAATTTTGAGTTTTCTAACCGACAACTATCTGAAATTCAATTAAATATCACCCTCCAGAAATTGGGTCTCTTTCTGATCTTGAAACATAATCTTTTTCAAGTGCATAGAGGGCGCAACTATCAAATTCTTTTATTAAGATTAATCTATAGGCTAAAGAGGTTACATTCAAAAAATTTGGAGTCCTAACATTATTTTTACGTGGGGATTCGCCCGAGAGAGGAAATAGACCTCATACTCCTATGGGGGTGTAACATTCTGCCCAATCAAGGGGCTCTAGAACTACCTTCGTGTGATACACTTGCAGCATTTTGATATTTGAAAACACGCCCAATCACTTACCTAGATATTGAAACCAGAAATGAGGCCTGCACGTATAACCAGGTGTAGCATCACAGTGAAACTTTCCACAACTCTGAGTAAAAAGGTAGGGGTTAAGAGAACGGTGATCTGGAGAACCAATCAATCTGGACCAAGAATCAGTCTAGCAAATCCCATTCTTGTTAAATATCGAGACCAAGTCGCCAGTTCTCTGATAAGCTGGTTTCTAACAGAGAAGCTACCCCCCTACCCCCCTTCTTTTTTATTTATTTTCTAGTTTGGGTTCTATTTTTTTTTTTTTGTTTCACTCAGCCAATTCAAACTGGTTTTTTCGAAAGGCAACCCTGGTCACCAGGCCATTTTGCTATAGGGATGGCGATAACGGGTCACCTCGTGTAGACTTCAAAAATCGGTCGCCTTTGATTGAAACTGCGCTATTCATGACCTCGTTGCTATCGTCGTGTAACTGTCCTGGACTCATCTCTCTCTCTCTCTCTCTAGAAGCCTGATTGGTATCATCCTATAGCTTTCCTGTACTCTCTCTCTCTACGCTTCAGTTGAACATTATGACACATACAATAGTGATATTTGACCAGCACTTGGAGCAGATAATTCAACATAATTTAATGAATGAAGATAACAAAATATCCAGAACTCACACCCTAGTTACTACCGCATTTGCCCACTGAGGGAGGTTCATTCCAATGCCCAACAGTTTCTACTTGTACAGTTTAGATTCCATGGATGGACTGAAAAAATTGTACCTTGAACATGCAGAACAGAGATTCCCTAATCCATTGGTATAGGTAACAATGGAAGAAAATAAAGCATTTCTAAATAAAAAAAAATACAGCAAACTGAACTATAACCAGTCTGATGATAAAACAGCTCACCAAATGGCCCTGCTGTGTCGTAATTTTAGGCACATCTATAAAACAGCAGAAACCCAAATAGTTTGGCATGGATGGTCCAAATGGTTTCAATGGGAAAAGGCCATCTCATATCACCACCTTGCCTTCTAGTATAATTCTTTTGAGTGTCATTCTTGCTGAACAGCTGAAGTAGAAACTTCGGTACTACAAAGAGGACATACCTGCAAAAGCAGACCACAAAATCTAGAAGACCAGAAAGCATGAAGACTACTACTCACTGAATTTTTTGAGTGATTTATCATGAAAAGAGCAAGAAGAAACATGGCACTCCACAAAAGTAAGACCTCTGCGAGTAATACATAATCTAAAAGTAAAACCTCTGTGAATAATACATAATCTCAATGGTTAAAAGCACCAGTTCCATTACGAATCATTAGAAGACCCAGATCCCAAAATGCAATATATTGAATCTATCAGGAACACAGTCCAGTCTATTGAACTACAGAAAAAGAAGTATCAAATGAGTGCATAAAGGCCACCAATCATGGCCCAACAGGGTATGAAAAGGTGTAAACTCTTACCTAATGCTTGGTAGGGAAGGAAGAAAAATTGAGTATGAAACTTAAAGATCTAGAGCAGTATTGAGACTCCCAATGCCATCATTATTTGGATGCAGTTGCATAAATCTGATCAATGGAAAGCAATGTGCAAAAACTCGGCTCGCGCTTAGGAATCACCCCAGAAAGGGCTCAAAAATTGCCAAAAAAAAAAAAAGGGGCAAAAAGAAGTACAAAAAAATCCAAAAATAAAATAAATTCATTAAAAATATAATTGATTGCATGTGTGCACCATTTATTTATGTATGATGGAAAAAAGTATATAGCAAAATGGAACATGGAAAAAAATTGATTTGTAGCTTGAAATAATTCAGAAAATCTAAAAAAGGAAAAAAATAGAAAAACTAGGGCGTATAATAAGAAAACTCATGAATCATCATCAAATATAAACATATTTATACAAAATTTATTAGTGATTTTGTAAAAATATACATAACTTTACATTGCATGCCGAGTTTATTCACAGAATTCGCCTCAACAGAGTGCCAAAGGCGAGTCCAAGTCGACTCCTCCGAGTTGTAAAACACTAATGGTAAGATGTTCTGAAGGCAGTCTACAGATTTGCAAGGTTCCCACACATCATCTGATTCTTTACCTAAACTTATCATCTTCTAATTACACAGAAACAAGGAAACGAGATAACAGTATTTATGTGTTTCTCTGTATTTGACAAAAGAAGGGAGTGAAAGATATTAAAGTTCTTAATACCTAGGTATGTAATCCTGTAAACAAGTGGGTCTTTGGTGTGACTTAGAACTAGATTGAAAGCTTCTGGAATGGACCTTTGTGCATAGGTGGTAACATCAAAGCAGTAAGGTTCTCTCACGAGAAGGGAGTTTAAATAATAACTAACACATAATTAATCTGAAATTTTACTAATGAAAATTGACCCATACACATCCCTGTGATGGCACATATTCACTTGTAAGAATGATATAGTCTATCCAGTTATGCCAAGAAGAATCAGTTTCTAATTTCCTACAACTGGGAGAAATACTATCAGAACATCAGGGAGGTAAGTGTGCCTGAAATATTATCAGATCAAAACAACATTTGTAGCAGAGCACCAAAACCACCGTTGAAAAAGTAAAAGAAGAAATATATACTCAAACTCATGTGGCTGAGTTTTAAAGAACTGCCAAAAGTTAGGGACTCCTGATCTTAGTAGCCGGAACCTTGCATTCAGGTGACATGGCACTCCAATCCCAAAACTAATCCTCCACTAGCAATTCCTCCGTGATTACTCATGAAAAATTTATGGAGATTATGAACAATGTCATAGCAGGAGGATGGTGAATGCCTTAATGAGGTGAAGGCTGACTGGTCTCTAAGAACACAAACTATTTGAAGGACTTTGTATGATGCCCCTCACTGCAGCAATTTGTCAAGGGGGTCATATGAGAGGGAGAAAGATCCTTGGAGGAGCTTGAATTGTTCATCGACTGATGAGTTAAGGGATTGATGGAGCTTGGATTGCTCATAAGCAGGGATTGATGGAGCTTATCTGCTGCCAAACTGCCAAACTCCAAAAACACGAGAAACATTACGTGGCCTATACGATGATAGAACCATAATATGTAAGATGGAAGAAAGCTTATGACCACTTAAATGAAAATCTCCTTACTCCAAGACTCGTAAAACGTGTCTCTCAGATTATTATCAGAAGATGGGAGACCTAGAAGACAGATGTTAAATAACAGTCACAAACTTAAGACACCTTAAACAAGATAATCCACTAGACGTTTTCCTGTTTACAATGATTGAGACCATAAAAGTGGCTAGCTCTTTCAAGAGTTCCTAATAGGGTTGAAACTGGAATCAAGTAGTTCCATTTTCAGCTTGTGGATGATACCATTGTGTATGAGTATGCCTCATTGAGATGAGCTCTGAGCTTTTGATCATATGTTCCCTTTACTTGGGGAAAAATTTATCAGATTCACCTATAATATCAACTATTTAACATTTCACCCCCTTTCTACATACTTTTAGAAAGCCAATCATAGGGTATACATCGTCACATGCTAGAAACTGAGGAAGGGGAACTTTCCACTTTTGCCCCTTCCCAAAAAACAAAGCGGGTTTTCTTAAAAACCACTTATTCACAACATTACCCTATTGTGTAAGATCCATTAAACCCACTCAATAACAATGTTCATTATTATTAGTATTTTCTAGATTGGCTTATTCTAACATGGATTCAACCTTTACCTAATAGGTTTCTTTTTGCCTTTCTTTTTTTTTTCATGCTCTTTCGTATTTGCCTTTCTTGTCTTCATTTTAACCCCAAATCTGAAACAACATACAAAAACACGCATATGTAAGCATGTATTGGATCCTATGCACACCTCCTTAAGAGGATGTAACACTTGAGGGGCACACATAGGAACTCAGCAATGAGGGGTACACGCATATGCAAGCATGTATTGGATCCTATGTACACCTCCTTAAGAGGATGTAACACTTGAGGGGCACACATAGGAACTCAGCCATGAGAATCATGGAGTAAGCACCCGAATTCACATGTAATTAGAGTACACTCATAAAATGTGTAAAATTCTATGATCTATATCATCATACCCAATAAATGGTCACAAGTATAATCGTGTCATATCATGTCCCTCCCTCCCTTAAACTCCATCCATCCATTCCTCCCTCCCATCCATCCATCCATCTCTCCCTCCCCCTACCTCCCTCCCTTCCCCCCTCTTTACCTCCCCTCCCTTTATAATCCTTTCAGCTTATAATAAACAAAAGCTGTCTAAGAGATATTTCCTTGCCCTCCTTCCCTCCCATCCCTCCCTCCCTCCCTCCCTCCCTCTTTCACTATAATCTTTTCCGTTCATAATAGACAGAAAATGTCAAGGCCATATTTCCCCGCCTCCCTCCCTCCCACCCATTTTGCTCCCTTGGGAGCATATAATATTTTCAGTTTACAATTAACAAAAAATGTCAACGTCATATTTCCTTGCCAAACATTGGAAAATTTCTAGCCAATGATTCCGTATCCTATGATGGGCTTTTTGAAATCAAATTTAAAAAAACAAAAGTGCATATGTTAAGTAGTTTATCATAAATTTCCCTTTTTCCTGTAACTGAAGTTCCATTTCATGGGAACAGTATGCATCATCAAGTTGTACTAAAAAAAAAAGAAGACAAACATAATGTCAGACATATACTTAAGTGGGAAAAGGAAGTTTCTGGGTACTTATAATCTTTTCCTGATAAAAGGTAACACTCAGTGTGGCCTAAACTAAGACGACTGGAATTGTGGTGTTCAGAAGAAATAAAGCAAAAGGCTGAAGAGGGGATTACTACATTATTTGCCAGCTATGTTTGAGGTTTCCCTTAAATGTGAGATCTCCAAAGAATCATTATGGGACATTGGCCCATGAAAATACTTGGAAAAAGCAATGGCTAGAAATGGGTATACCAAGTTATCACAAAATGCTAAGCAGCCCCTAGGCAGCCGGCCTAGCATGCAGCGCCCGGCGCCTAGGCAGGGCCCAGCACCTCGGCCAATCTGTTTGACTTTAGAGTGGGAAATGCACCCTGGGTGCCGCATGCCCTTCCTGTTAACATGCATTCTTTGTTCTCATTTTACTATGAGGCTGTTGCATTAAAAATAAAATGGGATTCCTATGAATGAGAAAACATCAGCCAAAATTTCTGAGTTGTTCAGGATCAATCAAACATGATATTGCATCTCTTAAGCTAGGTTCAAAAATTGGTAATAGGGGAACAACTAGAAGTGGTTGTTTCTGTTTCACATGGTATGAATAGGCATTAGCCAAAAAATAGGAAAATAAGAAAAAATAAAAGTAAAAAGGAGTTTGAGAAAATATCTTAAAAAACAGAAAAATAGATGACAATCAAAATATTCTGGAAGGATTTTTTCTGCTTTATTGAAAAATAAAAGTTTTTCACAATAACGACCATTGAAAAAACTTACAGGATTTCTTCAGCCCTTGAGGAAGACTTTTAAGGAGTCGCACAAGAAAGGGGAGATGGGTGAGGCATTGGAGTTGCCTGACTGAGCCATCTAAGAATATTCTAAACTCAATTTTGAAAACAAGGACTAGAATAACCACAGGCTATCCAGAGCGCATGGATCAATTAAAGATAGCCCAGGCAGCTCATGAGAACATGATGAGGCTATTAGGATCTTCTTTGGCTACCAACACGGAAGCTTGCACTTTTAAAAGCTTAAGGTAACTCTCTTGATGCCAAAAGATGTACTCACAGTGAGCCAGATTACCCCTATCTCTATGTGCATAAAAAGGCAAACGTGCAGGGAACACTCCCTCTCCTGGGAGGAGTTCGGGAGTATTGTGCTTGATTTCTCCATGACTTTTATCCCCAACATTCTTGTTGTTTTTCCTTTATTTTCTGAAGAATAAACAATTTCATTCAAGAGGAAAATGCATAATCTACTTGCATGCAAAAATGCAGACAAATAGAAATGCATGAATTGGGAAAGACAAAAAGATGAATAAGTAAAACAGAACAACTGATCAGTATGACTAAGGCTCCCTCTCCAACCCCCTTTTCTGCCAAAATGTCCACCTCACAAAGAAAGAGGAAAATAAGAATTTTTTTTTTTTTTTTCATTTTCTCCCCCTCAATCTTAGTCCCTTATGTTGCACCTTGTGCAGTTTGATGTGATCCCTCAACTGATAATTGACTTGTTCTTTTCCTTACTCTTTTTCTCAATAATTACCTTTTATATTGCATCTTGTGCAATTTGATTCACTTCTTCTAGTCTCTATTAATTATGTAAAACATGTATAAAGCATAGCTCTGAAGATTTAGAAGTACTTTAATTTCACAATTTAAATTTCCCTTGATTTATTTTAATTTAATATATGGTTTTGAATCATACAGTTACCATTGCATAATTCAAAGAGGGTGAAAGGGGGGGGTGTTGGGTGGATGTCAGTCATTCAGTACTTGAGGCGTACTACCCCGCTTCCAAATTGCAAAAACTGAATACCCTCAATGCAAAAGCTACAACACATTCTAAGCCACAAGAGAGCAAAGCTTATGCCTCAAACCTCAAACCCCAAAACCACAACCAAGTGAAATTGATGCAACTCGCATCTAGGAGTTTTTGGCTCTCAGGATGAATTTGTCATTTTCAAGTTCTTTTGGGTCACCCAGACAAGATTGTCATTATCAGAATCTTATATTGTCACGGCAATGTATTTGTCATTATCTCTTTGTTTTCAGCCCGAGGATGAGTTTGTCATTTTCTCTTTGTTCGTTGGTCATTTTGGGATTTGTTAAGATCTAGGGAATTTGGTGTAGAGAAGTAATTTATTGTGTGAAAGTTTTCATGGGTGCAAAAGTAAAAATTGTGTAGTCTCGATGCATAAGAATTTGGCTTCATGCATGGGAACTTGAGTGCAAGAAGTTGCAAGCAAGTATAGGAAACAGGGCACAGGGGTAATCTAGTCAATTTCACACCTTGTTAGGAGTATTTTGGTCATTTTCTAGTTCCAGCAAACTGGTTTATATATAGGGAAAATTGTTGTAACAGTTAATTTGTTGATATTTGGATTAATGAAGTAAAACCTTCGTCCTTCTACTTGTTGTAGAGAATGAGAGTTCCCATTCTCCTGTACCTCCAAGTATCGGAGGGCCATCCTTGTGTACTGCAAGTATCTTGTGTGGCAAGAGTTCGGGCTGAATATCCCTTCCTCTTCATTCCCTTGATCAAGATCAAGGAAGCCGGGTCATTGTTGCACAAAATCGGCCTCGGATATATACTTTCTGTTGCCGATCTTGTACCAAAAAAATAGAATATTGTACCAAGATCATTAACTCTAAACTAAACCCATACCTTGTTTATCTTAAGCCAGTTATTTATGCACTCAGAATGGTATCTGTGCTTGCATAAAAGATCAGTCAGATCATCACCCTCCTCATAATCTACGCGACATATGACACATCTGCAACAAATCCACATAAATTTTAGTCAGCTAATTTATAATCCGTAGCAGTGGTGCATAACTACAACACAATACTTACTGCTCAATGGCACCTTCAGCTGTGCTCTGTGCTTTGTATTTTGAAGAAGGTAATGAAGCAATCATGTCTGCAGAAAGGCCTCTAGTTTCTGTCCCAACGACTTCACCCAGTGCAATCAGTTCCTGCAAATGTAAAAGCTTGGTTTTTATGAAAATGTTCAACAAAAAGAAAGGCTCCATGTAACAACTGTGGAAGGAGAACGTAGCAAATCTTACCTCATAAGACAGATCATCTGGATCAACCTCTTGCCATGTATCCTGAATTAAAAAGTTAAAATTTAATGAAGGGCAGCATATTGAAAGTATGGATATAAGAAGTCTAAGAAGTCAAAAATAGGTATTTATAGAAAACACCCAAACCTCCAAAATCCTAATGTACATAATTTCTACTTCCATCCCTTGTTGGATCCACAAATTCATAACCTATGTAGGTCAAATAAACAGAGAACCAGGAAAATATAATTACACTATTTCAACATGCAAGCATAAGCTTCATCCAGTTTTGCCTTTGTTCTACCAAAAGCTGCCTTTTTTTCCTCTTTTAGTCATCAAAGCTGCCTTTCTTTCAACCACCACTTACTCATTTCAAAATTTGATCATAAGTCACCGGGCTCATGGTATAGTAGGCCACCCATTAGATATTCTGGAAGTGTTTATACTCATTCCAATTCTGCATCATTTGCAGCTTTTATAATTTAGATTTTTCAATACTAACAGAATTAAGTAAAATGACAAACTCACCATCTTCCAATGTTTTATAGTTTATTTACCTTTTCCTAGGTATCTAGATAGGCACACGACCAACTTATGAAACCTAATGGCGACTGCAAAATGTACTGAGCTCTCATATACTTGATTCCCATATTAAATATAAGTTTTGCAAGATGCATGCGGAAAGCAAAGAAAAAGTCATAAAGGAATATATCAACAATTAGCATAAAATAAAGAGCCACTTAAAGTTGACACCTAAATGCGGGGCACGGCACAAGTTGAGCAGAAAACACAACATAGTATCAAACATATAACAACAACATAGTATCAAACGTAAAACATTGGACTCTGAACCTAAGCAGTAATTTACTTAAGATTAACATAAACAAACCATATTTAATATGGAAGTAGGATGCTCACAAGTTAGTAGGACATGAACACCACTAGCGACACACCACATGGCGTCGACCCAAACGACTACAAAGGATCTGAGACTATCTTCATGAATTTCATGTTGCATTCTTGCCATAACATCCAGATAACAGTAGTAAGCGCGATATACCACATCATTTAAGAAATGGAGCTGCAAGATGGAGTTGAGAATAACCTATCACCAAACTGATCTGATTCTAACAATTCAGGATCAAAATATTCTAACTCTAAAGATTTACATGACGTTAACAAGAGGCCACAGAGACCATAAAATAGCTTCTTTCCTCTACAGTGACACCAAGCAGTGCAGTTTTTCATGTTCCAAGCTTTAGATATAAGAACAGGTGAGGCCCAAGTCCATGGATGATTTCCTACTTTATTGGGTTTAGGCATTGCTCCCTCCCAAACGCCACATTCTCTAGAGGATGAGCTCTCCAGCCATCTTATGGGGTATTTGAATGGGAGTGCAATAATCATAATCTTAAGCTGAGAAGAGGCCAACGGATCACATCTAATAGGGATGTTTCATATTCGTGTACTGCCTGGACACTTGAGCAGGACTTCGTGGGCTTTAAGGTGGTGGACTTTGTTAGAGATAATAGTAAAGTTTCACAACAAACCTTGCACCCAGAGGCCAGACCAGGTTCAATTAAGCTCAACTTTGACAGATTTTCGCAAGATGCTATCAGACCAGCGATTTTGGGAGATCACCATGATGACCAAGGGGAAGCCTTGTCAGTGTTTTCTGGCCTCTAGTGCTATGTCTCAAAGGAGGAGTCAGCTAGACAGTCCTCCTTCAACTCAAACCTCACCTGCAAGCTCCTTGGATCCCTCTTACAGCTGAGAGGGACTTCCTAAATTTGATCCATAGGGAATGTTGGGAAAGTATCAGCTTGTCCCCAGAGGACAACATGTTTCACAGGTATTTCAGTTATGTAAGCTTGGCTATGTATCCTTCTCCCATAGAAGGCAAATGAGGCTCCGAAATGCTGGCCAAAGGAGTTGAGTGTCAAGAAATCTTTTGTTAGGGCTACATTTATAATTCAAGCAGTAACAAGCTTCATCTCTTTGCTTGCACTTTAACTGTTTATGTTATTTGACACTTTGTTGATTTTCTCCTCGATGAACTTCAAGTTTCATCTAAAAAGTATAAAAAATAAATATCTATGCTTTAGTTTTCCTATTAAGACATCCATGTCCAACAGCAAGACATAAAATGTGTCTAACTTGCTTCTTCATCATCATCATCACACAAGCCTTATCCCAATTATTTGGGGTCAGCTATATGAATCATGTTACTCCATTCTCCCTATCAAGAGCCATACCCTCAGTAAGACCAAAAATCACTTAATCTTTTCTCACTACTTCTTTCCATATCTTTTTGGGCCTTCCTCTTGCCCTTTTAGAGCCTCCCACTTGAATTGTGTCTAAGTTGCTTCCATTACAAAATATTGAACTACAATCCCTGAGAAAAGCCACCTATATTGGCGACCTAATCCACAACCCAAATCATGAACTAAAGTATGGATGCTTGTATAAAAAGAGAACGCCAATTCGAGACATGGTTTACCATGATATAAAAACAAACAGGTTTCACCTCTTTTTTGAAAGTGATAAAAAAAAAATTTCAAATGCAACAAAAATCATATACACTAAGGGCACCCCCCATGCATTCAATAGTAGACAAGATCTTTATAACTCTCAAAAGTTTGAAACCACAAGATCTACAAAAACAATTGTCCAAGATCTTGCAAACATCAGTAATTGAAGAATAGAAAAAAGGTAGGAAAAGAATATAAAACAAACTATAACAGAAAAACTTCATTATCAACATCAGAAAACACAGCATGATTAGGAACCAAGTACAACTAAGTATAAAGAAAATCTAAAAGTGAAATAAAATATCTTCAGTGGCTATATTGATCAACACATGATACCTGGGAGTTGCTATCTTCTTCTTCCTCATGGTCCTCTTCTTCCCCTGCCCCTGGGAACGCAAAAAATTACTCTTACTTGGGAGCATATCAAACTGATACTGAAGCTTGTAATTCAACCAAATCTCACAATGTATGCCAAAGAAAGAACAATTCAACCATCCATCAATAACACACTAAATTACAAATTTCCATTGAAAACAAGACAGGAAATGAGTATTCACATATATCTTTCAATACAAAATGGCAAGTGGTGAACTCACAACCATTTATGCCAGTGAGCGCCATCAAATGAATGGCCATTTCACGCTCTTCAACATCTTGGAGAGCCCTGGCATATGCCTCATCACTATCAAAGGCAGAGGGGTCGATCTCGTTTTCCTCATCTGCAGCATCAGCACGAGCAATGACATCAAAAGCATCCTCATCATCGTCCCTCTCATTGCCACCATTTTCATCAAGATCATCACCATCCTCTTCATAATCATAGCTTCCACTTGCAGAACTCTCATACTCATGAAGCTCCCCATTCATTCTCAACACCATGTATGCCCTCTCCTGGTATATAAATTAAGGAAACAAATGTAAATAATAGAATTCCTTGTCATTCTTTCACATAATATTGAGAGCTTATATGACAAGACACAAAGAACTTGCCAACTTGACATACAAATGAATTGTACTCAAAGAACCATGGAAAAATTAACATTCAAGAATGCAATACCATGTATTCACAATTTGCATTCATAATCAAAAGCAGTCCACAAGATAAAACATGTTCTTGTTTGACAACTACAAAGTTATTACAACTACAGACTACAAAGAGAATGGACTGAATTAGAACTTAAAAAATACCCAATATTTCCCCAAACTCCCATAGTTACTGCATAAATAAATTCAGGACTTTACAATAAATCGCTTCAACGGTAGAGAAAGACATAAGCCACTTCACAGGTATTACAAGTTCACAATTACAAAGTACAAAAAGTAAGGGCCGAATAAAATCAAAGATATTACAAGTTGAATACCAATTAGACATGGCCCTCAAATAATTCTATCATAGTTTCAAACTGCTAGAAGTCTATAAACAATAAGATATCGTATTTCCCAAAATGCATGTAAAATAAATCACAGAATGTACAAAGTATACCCAATAAAAGCTTGTGATACAACAAAATTACTGAAGAGTAAAAGCTTGTGATACAACAAAATCACTGAAGAGTAAAAGCTTGTGATACAACAAAATTACTGAAGAGTAAAAGCTTGTGATACCACAAAATCACTGAAGAGTAAAAGCTTGTGATACAACAAAATCACTGAAGAGTAAAAGCTTGTCATACCACAAAATCACTGAAGAGTAAAAGCTTGTGATACAACAAAACCAATAAAGAGCAAGCAATGCACACAAAGTAGAACACTTGTTGACACCAATTCTTTACAAGATTATCAAAACATGCAGAACACCCCACCAATGGCCCACATTTTACAATCATTGCCAACCACAGAAGAGATGCCAATGACTTACCCAAATCAATATCTCGATGCTATCATGACGAGACATTGTGTCATGTACTCAAAAATTATAACACTAATTACGACATTCTGTTGAGTAAATGTACAGTTTTATAGAAACTACAGGCCCCCAAAGAAGCAGTTAATACAAAGAAGACACTGCAAAGAAGCTATTAAGTTCATTAAAGTGATGGACATTATTATCGAATTAGGACTCAACATTTAATTTCCTAATCAAAACCAATCTGCAGTCACTGAGAAAGAACAATATCATCCACTGACAAAGCACAAACACCATGTCCTACCTTAACAAGCAAAGCCCCAGAACAATCAGTTTCAAAGAAGAAAAAGGAATGAAAGAGGACAAGTCAACTATATCATCCACTGCCAAATTATACAAACCCTTGACCAGTAAAGCCCCAACATGATTGACTCCAAAAATCAGAATAAGGAAGAAGAAGATAAAGAGAGACTTGAAGGCCAAACCTGTTCCTGCAAAGTCCTTGCAAGAGCCAAGTCCGCATCCACCTGGCTTAGACTAGTGAATGGGGTCCTTGAAGGCTGGGAAGGCCTAGAATTCGATCCACCATCATCCATAACTGGGGTTTCATCTGCTCCCTTCTCTCCCACACTCCCTTCCTTCTCATTCTCCATGGCGCACAGATCAAAAACCCTAGAAACCAATCACAGTAAGAAATCTCAAATCGCACCAGCAAGGTCCCCAATCACCCCAAAAAGAAAATCAATCCATAAACAGACCAAGAAACTCTTCAAAAAAAATTCCTGAAAATCAACATAAATGTAAAGTCATAATTTTGACTAAATTTAGACTATAATCGTAAAGACAAGGGTTGATTGCAAGATTCATCAATGGATTAACAGATATGAATTTGGATATTCCTCTTTAACCATCAGAAAAGAACAAAAGATTATTCAGAAAGAAATACAATTGAAGCAATAGAATAAAGAGAACTTACAGTGAAACTAAAGGAGAATTAGGGTTTTGATGAGTGGTGAGAGAGGATAGACAGCCTGGTTCGAATTGTGAGGAGAGCTACTCGCACTGTTTGTTTCTTCGTCTTTTCGGGTGCTTTGCTTTTGGGTTTGCATTATGAGGAAAAGAGCAGACCATTCACAATTTTATACAAAATACCAAACGCAGGACCTGTCCTTGTCTTTATTCACAAATGGACTTAAAAATTCACTCGATTTTGCCTTTTTATTATATGGACAGATAGCTACCTATTTTGAGAGAATTCTAAGGAAATATACAGTGGTGAAAGGAATCTTGGCGTGCTGTGCAATCATGCATATACATAAGGCCCTGGGTTTTATGAAAATAAAGTGAGTTTTATCACTTTGTGTATAAGAAAAATTCTCGTCGCTTTTTTCAAACAAAATAGACCAATTACCTTGAATCACATCAAAATAACCTTCGTAGACGTATTACCGTGGATCACAATAAAAAACTAAAATATTATAACTATATAATATGGTATTTTAAATATTGTAAAAACTAATCCATATTATACAACACTCGAAATATAATAAATCCTTATTACTGTTTATATTTATCTCTTTATTACTGTTTATATTTATCTCTTTCATCTCATTTATATTTATCTCTTTCATCTCTCTAATTATTTTGTTTATATTTATCTTTTACATCATGTTATTTTTTGTTTATATTTATCTTTTACATCCGGTTTATATTTATCTCTTTCATCCTGTTTATATTTATCTCTTTCATCTCTCTAATTATTTTTTTTGTTTATATTTATCTCTTACATTATTCTAATTATTTTTATGTTTATCCCTTATTTCTCTCTAATTCTTTTTAATATTTATCTCTTCTTTCTCTCTTTAATTCTTTTTAATATTTATCTATTCTTTCTCTCTCTATTCTTTTTTCTCTCTCTAACTCTCTTTCTCTCTCCAATGAGATTTTCTTTTTCTCTTTAATTTTTTAAATATTTATCTCATCTTTCTCTCTCTCATTCTTTTTTATCTATTCTTTTCTCTCTAACTCTCATTCTCTCTCCAATGAGATTTGTACAACAACCTATGCGTACTCTCCAATGAGATTTGTATAACAACCCATGTGTACCTTACCATCCCCTGTAAAAGCTCCCTTCAACCTCATCCCCTATAATTGTACAACCTGTGCGTACGTTACCATCCCTTGTAAAAACTTCCTTCAACCCATCCCCTCTATGAAAATATTAGAGGGAGTCGGATCATGTTTGTTGAGTTGATGAAGTAAGTAAAGAGAAAAAGAGGGAGTCAAATCGTGTTTGTTGAGTTGATGAAGTAAGTAAAGAGAAAAAGAAAGTCCCCTCTATGAAAATTAGAGAGAGTCAGATCATGTTTGTTGAGTTGATGAAGTAAGTAGAGAGAGAAAGAGAGTTTGTGAGAGAAAGAAAACATAAATATTTAAAAAAATTAGAGAGAGAAAAAAAAGATAAACATCAAAAAAAATTTGAGAGATGAAATAGATAAATATGAATAGGAGAAAATGGTTTGAAACATTTTGAGTAGCGTATAACATGGGCTAGTTTGTAATTAGTATAAACTGGGTTAGTTTGTAATTAAATGGTGTGGGCGAGGTTTATGAAATTTAAGGTTTTTTTTCTAAATGGACAAAAATTAAGGTATATTTGTGATAATTTCTCAATACTTGGATAAAAATAATAATCTACAAACATAAAATTGAAAATAAAGGTTTAAGATATTATACCCTCTAGAGTCCACCCTAAGATCTTTCCCAAGATCTACAAACTAAAAAGAATAATAAATGGGATAGTCTATAAAGAGACTATTTGTCTTCTTTATTATTATCCCTTAAATTTTAAAATAGGTGGTTGTAAGAGTGTTATTGAATAGACACAAAGCTCTAAACAAAAAATTATGCATAGAGATTCAAATAAAACTAAAATAAATTATATCTCTTCATTATGTCTTAAAACAAATCTAACATATCCTAACCAAACCCAAACTTACTAATCCCTATCCATATTCATATTTTTAAAAAAATAAAAATTAAACTTCCAATTCTACTCATTTAATGTCCCTACAACTAAAAAAATAAGAATAACACTTACATAAAACTAAAAAATCCAAATAACATATTTTTAAGTCCTAGAAAATATAAAAAATAAACAATTATTTTTTGTTTGTTTCATTCTCTCGATGTTGAAAGAACCTCGACCTCGAGCTTATATCCTTCTTATGCTAATCAAATAAATGGTGATGTAGTCTCAACATGCACATCGGTACTTTTTCATCAATAAACCAATTCATCAAATACATTGCACTGGGATCTTGAGCTCAATTGTGTTTCAAGTTCCTTATGAAATTCAAGAAGATTTAGCTGAATACCATTAAGCTAAATACCAAGATCATATGGATGCTCCTCATATAATAATTCTTGCATCGTGATCAGCACCCTAGTCAGTCGTGGGCTCGATTCATCTCTACAGTCAAATTTGGTGTCGGATATTTATGGTTGCGAGCACCATCTTCTCAAATAACAATATTCTCCAACTGGAATTTCTTTGCTCTGATACCAACTTATGCAGAAAGAAAAATAATAAACTGAAAACATAAGAGTGAAAATAAAGGTTTAAGAAAAATGTACCCTCTCTCTCTCTAAGTCTGCAAGGGAGTGCAACACAAGATCTTCTTACAAAATCAAACTTTTTATTTATGCTCCAATCAATCTCCAATGGCCATCTGCCCTTTAAATACATACTAAAAGGAATAATAAATAAATAAATAAAACTAAACTCCATCTTTCCCTTATCTCTTAAAAACAATTCTAATATATACTAACCTTGATCATCTCTATCCATATCCATCTTTTTTAAAAAATTGAACCTTTCAATTTTACCATTTAAATCTCTACAACTAAAAACGGTAAGAATAATCTTAAAGACAACTAAAAATACAAATAATGCATTTTTTAAGTCCTAAAAAATATAAAAATTAAAAATTAAAAGCAAGTTGTGTTTTGTTTGGTTCATTTTCCTAGGGTTGGCAGAAGCTCGGCCTTGAGCTTATATCCTGCAGAGGCCAATCAAATAATTGGTGATGTAATCCCACGATGTACCTCGGTACTTTCTCTTCAATAAACCAATTCCTCAAATACTTCATGCTCATATTAAAGTAAAACTCTAGAATCTCAAGCTCAATCATGATTTCTTTTTTCAAGTTTCTCATAAAACTCGTGAATGTCAAATTGAATATTAATATCATGTAAATGCTCATTAGATTGTGGTTCTTGCATCACAAATGTGATCGTTACATTCAGGATTGACCCCTCTAGTCAGTTGTGGCCTCATTCATCTCTACGGCAAAATTTGATGTCAGATATTCATGGTTGTGAGCACACTCTTTTTGAATAATATTATTATCCAACCATTGCAACTGTTGATTCATTTCACAAATGTTGCTTCGAACATCATTCGTGACTTTGGTTAGATTTTCTAAAATTTGTCACATGTTATCATCCATATCATGATTAGATTTCGATGGCATTACGATACTTAGAACTTATATACTCTGATACCAATTGTTGCAAGGAGAAAAATAATAAACCAGAAATGAAAATAAAGGTTTAAGATGTTATACCGTCTCCATGGATCTGCAAGGGAGTCCACGCCGAGATCTTATCACAAGATCAAACTATTTATTATTCTCCAATTATTCTCTAACGAATGGACAACTTTACTTTGAATACAAAATAAAATGAATAATAAATAAAATAAAATAAAAATCAAAACACAAACTTTATATCTCCCTTATCTCGTAAAATATAACTAAAATATCCTAACTAACTCAACTTTGCTAATCCTTCATCATATCCATCTTTTTTAAAAAAGACTAAACTTCTAATTCTACCACTTTAATCTCTTTACAACTAATAAAGACTAGTAGATTTAGTGCGTTGTACGTAGCAATAAGGCAAAAATTAAAAAAAATGTTAAGTACCTCATATCATTAAACATCTTCTCAAGACCATTCACAAAGTCCCCCCATCATGATCTCTTACCTTGCTAAACGTGAAAGAGCTCACAAACATCCAAAGTGTGTCAATTAAGCACCACCAACATGATGATGATGAGAGGGAAAATACAATATGAGGACCTAAAATCTATAACTCGAAATTTAAAATCAAGTAGGGGCCTTTTCCCTCACTAACTTATCCCAAAAAATTATATAACTCAATCTTCATCTATCCACTATATTGTAGAATCTCAAACTTATAAGTTTTAGAAAAAATTTCTTAACATTACCATACCTTTACATGGTATACTCTTGTGATTCTTGCAAAACTATAGGAAGGAATTGTCTGGATAGAGTAATCAGCAAATAATCAAAATTGTAGGAATGAGATTTTAGAGCAAAACTAATATACCCACATGAATTATAGGAAGTAAATTACTAAATTGTAGACAAATTCAATTATCTTTCTTAAATACATGGACTCTATCCACACCGATTTTTTTATGATAATCTTCTTCTTTTTTTTCTTGGGATAGAGATAAAATTAGAAGTTTTAGAAGGAATTTTTTTGTATTTTCTCTCTCCATTTGACAAAATCCGCCTTTCTTTGGTTTGATATATATTTTTTTCGTTTTTTGAAAATTGTGGTTTAATATATCTCTCTATCCCCTAAAATATATAACTCAATATCAAACTATTCCCTAAAGTGTCTAACGGTTACACCCTAACCCCACCTCTTACACCCCTCTCACTCACGCACCAAATTTCCTTTTGTGCTTTTAGAAAATTCAAATCATCAAAAGTTCCCTCATGCAACATTATCCACACTCTTATAATTTATAACTCTTAAAAGTCCTCATAGCAGATTTTATTAATAGCAAATTTCATTAAGCTCATGGCTCTTATTCTTCCTAGCTCAATAACCATCTATTGCCTAAAACATATAATTTAATTCTAAATACGTAGATATCCTAATGTTAGTCCTAATAATGAAAATAAATAAATAAATAAATAAATAAGATAAACAACTTGCTCGGATATGTCCTTAAAACACACGAGGGACATAAGGTTCTATACCAAAACCTATAGACCAAGTCATCCAGTGACAGGCTACCTTGAGAGTCATCTTAGTGAATCACCTTTACCAATTTTTCATCATTCTCGCTCTCTTACTTGAGGGGTTAACCTCCTTTTACAGATAACCATCTTTTGTGACTCTCATATTCATGGTCTATAGGAGTTGAGATCTATGTATAATTCATGCCTTAATTCCCTTAAGTG